TATTTCACACTGGGGTAGATCTAGAGGGGTTACCACTGTGACCCCAGTTTGGTTTCTAATGCTGTCAATTTGTCAATTTCAACCCATTCATTTAGATTAAAACTAAAACTAAATGAACACATACTTTAATGATCTGTTATGGCCACCTTTTAGACTAGTTGATAGGCTTCAATTTAAAAAGTGCTAATGTACCACAACAACGTAGTGTTTTTGAGTTAAATTATCTTCATTTCATGCAAATATTGATATGTGTGATTGTTTGCGATTAAATCAGCATATATTTCTGCCACCCTTTAAAGTGTCCATGCCACCTTCTTGCCACCTCATGAATATTTCTCTAGATCCACCCCTGATTTCACAGTTACAGTTATTACAGGAAAAGTCACAGGAGTCAGTAGGAACCATTAGTATCCACTGATAAAGACATTTCAGTCTGGACTAAAGTAGAGAGCCTAGAGTCTACTTTAAATATTCCATTCAACAGATTTGTACAGCTTGTAACTCAAGATTATTAAGATTCATTAAAGGTCCAGTTTGTGATATTTAGGGGGCTCTATTAGCAGAAACAGAACTTAACATTAATATTAATGGGTATGTTTTCATAAGTGTATAATCACTTGAAAATAATAATCATATTTTTGTTATTTTAGAACGAGCCAATTTATTTACAGATGGCGCGGGTCTTCTTAACCCTTCTATGGAGGTCGCCATTTTAAACTGCTATGTTTTGTACAGTAGCCTAGAATGGATGAAACAAACAACAGCACAAAGTAGGACCTCGTTTTTTGTGAGTTTTGTAGTCACAGTAGTTTCTCCTACATGCTAGGAAGACGAGCGTTATTCATTTGGTTGCAATCTGCAACTTCACCACAAGTGTTTATTAGTAGTCCAACCTTTGTCTTGAATTAGTTACTTTTTTGTTAAGATTTAGATGAAGGATGATGCTGGTTTAGCAAAGTATATTAAACTGGATGTGAGTTGGACTTCTGGACTGGAAACCGTGCCACTAAAATACTTAAAAGAGACAAATAATTCAGTTCCCACTCATTTATCCTTGTGTTTTAGTGAGTGATTTAAAACTACTTAATATGTAGCCCATTAACACTTTCATATTGCTTAATTACTATCATCAGTATCAGTATTTCAAACAGCAGAGTTCTCATCAACAACATTAATTGTTTTGATATATTAGACAAAGCACAGCTATTACTACAGCACATACTGTACACTGAAATATTGAAGTCTTCTACAGCCGGCTTTCCTATATAATTTCTTAGAAAACATTTTTGAGTCAGTGTGATACTACTGTTTTAGGATACTAATCAGCCCTTGAAATGTCTTTATTTCATCCTGTCTTTTTACCATGGTAATATATGATTAGTGGCCATACTGACATCATTTCATCTATAGAGAGAAGCTGTGTTAGTGTCATTGTGGGTGTTGAAAACATTGAACAAAACGAAAAACAGTCAAGTATTTTGGTTAATGTTTGCCTTTTCATTGTCCGTACTTACATCTTTTTGTAACCAGCAAGAAACTGCTCTTTACTTCATTCCTCTGCGGAGCATTTGATTTGCTGCAATGAGCATAACACTGATGATAAATGCAATGGCGAAGGCACAAATCAGGCTTTTACGCACACATGTGTGTTTTTCCTGTTGTGTTGGGCTTGCTGTGGAAAGATTTAGAAAAAAAATATTAGCACATCTGTAAATCTTAACAGAGCTTTTTTTTTAAAATGCCCGAGCAATGTGTGAAATAAAATCTGTATATAACATACTGTCAATGTCCAAATGAGTATCTGGACTGTTCAGGTGACTCTCCTCAGTCATGATGATGTTCTCAATGTCTTTCATGGTGAGGTGGTCACGGAAAGTATCGTAA